CCTACCATCACTGAATGTTTCTTGAAATATTAAGAAACAAGGCAGAAGAGACGAAGAAATCCGACGATTTTTCATTTCAAACATACACTTGTGATCTTGGTCAAACGTAAACTAGCTTCTTTGTAAATATCGCGGAATTTTTATTTCCAACCTTTACCCCAAGAAAAGAGAAGTTTTTTTAATTCTCTTTTATAAGTGTTCAGGCAAACAAACCACAGTTTATAAGTGTTCTTATACCTTGTGGAGTTCAGCCAACACTGTTACTTCGTAAGGATAAAGAGCATTGCCGATTAATTTCGTATAAGGAAAAGGAATGTGTGAATCGGTGTTCAGAGTGGAATTGTTACGCAAATTTTCAGCTTTGATTTTATTCTTGATCGTGTTCTATGCTCTTCGAAATTGCAACTGTTTTTTTTTTTTGATGTTTGAAGACAGGCGAGGATACTTTAACTATGGAAATTACATAAAATATGTTTTCCGATATTGGAAAATCCTTTGTTGTCGAATAGATTTCTCATTATGCTATATTACAAACATAAGAATGAAAAAAAGATAAGAAAAAGTCGTTTAATTTTTTGCGTTTTAAAAAATATGATAATAATTAATAATTTGAAATTACAGATTGAATTTCGATTTTATGAAATTTAATTGATGATTATTTTTATACGAGTATTGATCTGAATTTCAATTCCATTATTTAACATGTCAAATAATTTATTAGAAATAGAAAGAAATTAATTGATCCTGCTTACCAATATTTATACCTTACCTTATATTTACTTAATGAATTGAATATTTATTAATTCTTTGTAATTATTTTTCTTTGTTATATTCTTTGTTATATTAGATGTGAATTATTCTTAGATATATGAATATATTGAATATATATATCTAATAAATTGTAATGATTAGAAACAAAGAATATTGAATTATAAATTAAATATTATATAGATACAAGAAATATAAATATATCAACAAATCAAGTTTTAATAGATTAAGAAATATTAATAGATTATTTTATCTATATTAATATAAATAATCATAATTATATGAAAAAAGTTACATTTATAAGAAACTTTCAAATATAAAAAAAACTTACAAGATATCAATGTCCTCATATAGTAATGTAAGATAGATTTTTTTTAAGAACTTGTATATAATTGAAAATTTTTAATTTAAAAATCGTTTTTTAAATTCTTTTTAATTTTTTAATTTTTTTTTTTAATTTTTCTTTTTTTTTTAAATTTTTATTATAAAAACAAGGAAATTTATTAATATTTAATGATTTTTATTTTATTAAAATTTAATATTTAATATTAAAACATTTTTCTCTAAAAATGATTAAAAACTATAACTATATATAAACTATCGCTATTATTATATCTTATTAATAATTTTTTGCATTTTTTTACTTTAATAATACTATTATGTAATTATACTATCATATTTTATAGAAGTATTAATATATTCCTCTCATTAGTTAAATCTAAAATAATACTATCATCCATGATCATAAAACTATTAATTTTTTTTTAATTTTTATTGTTTTATAGGAGAAGAGAAAAGAGGAATAAATTTCTTGAATATTATATAATGAATATAATATAAGCGAAAAGAAAATATTCATGCAACAATACAATTACATGATAGATTAAAAAATCTATTTTGTATTGTCAAAGTCATGTTTTATATATATTATTACTATTTTAAATATTTATATTTATATCTATATTTTATATATGTCATTTCTAAATTGCAATTTTAAAAAATTAAAATTATTATTAGTTAGAAAGAGTTAATTCGAAAATAGATAATTGATATACATATCGATTATCACACATGATATATAAATATTTCATAATATACTGTGACAAAAAAATTACTGTTTTTTCTTTATTTATTTCGAAAAATATATTTTAGTAATCAGAATAATCAGAATAATCAAAATATATAACTGATCCAGAAAAAAATTACGAGAAAAAAAGAAAGAAAGAAACAGATGCATTCCAGGATCAGTGAGCATCATATAATGAATGAGAAAATAGTTCGCCATCATTGTTAATTTTGTTTAAATTGTTAATTCACTTTTCAATTAAAAGACTTAAGTTAAATGAATATGAGACGCGGTGAAGTTCGTTCCGGTTGGCTGGAATTTAAAATCCTTGTTCATTAGAAATTACCATATCCCACAGTGTGATTATTGGAAAAGTAACTTTTGCTCGAAAGCAACTTTCTGCCCATCTGGGAGTCGCGTCGATCACGATAAACGTGACTTGTTAAGGATACCAGCTTTCATTTTCTCTCTAGTGCATATGTGTTTCGCACGATTTATTGCAGAATAATTGAAAAATTAAGAACGAAATTTAAGAAAAAAAAACTTAAGAATTATTTTTTATATAAATTTCTTCTATATAAGATGGAAATTGTAAAATACAAGAAAATAGATTCATTTTATAATAAAATACTTTATTTTTTTAATAATCATTCGCTTATTCTAAATTAAATTTTTAAGCTGAAAATTATAATGAAATGAAGAGATTTATAAGAAAAGTAACGTATAATAATAGTGCAATTGGAAATAAAAATGTTTTTTTTTATTAGCAGTGGCAAATATTATTGAGATAGATCGACTTATAAACGCGGTTAGAACATTTGATTTGAGGGTGTTAGAGATCTTTAGTCATTAAAAATACACCGTTTTGATAGCTTTACTATTCTCTTTTCTTACTTTTCATTTTGTTTCTATTCTCAATTCTTTGTTTTCATAACATTGTTGTAATCTGTTCATTATAATCACATCACATTTATAATATCTCTGACTATTATAACTATTAATATTAATAATCTATTAATAATTTACTATTAATAATCTCTGACTATTCGTAAATCTTTAAATTTTCATTTTGCACAAAGTATTTTAGGCAATAGAATTTTTATATTTTCGATAAATAATAAATAAAAATAAAAAAAATCGTTTTGAATAAAAATTAATTAATTTCTTATTATTTATAAATTGCGATATTAAAATTCTCCAAAAAATTATTTTTTAAGAAAATAAAAGATGAAGTTTTTAAAATGTTTTTATTTTTTTATTTTTATAGATATATACATATAGTTATAAAATTTAAAATAGACAATATTATTTAAAAAAATTAAAATAACTTTTTAAAAATTATTTTTTGAAAAATTTTAACATTGCAATTTGTAACTATTAAAAAACTATTATTTTTTTATATAAAATAATTTTTCTCAGGTATTATCTGAAATATCTAAAAAATTATAGCTATAGAATATTTTTACATGTGCAAAATAATCTTTAAGACCAATTTTTTTTCTTATAAAAAAATTCAAAGTACGAATTTATCTAGAATTTATAATTCTGTGTGTTAAAATTTTATATTAAAAATCCGTATAAATCTCTTTAATAAAAATTTCATATCATTCAAATAAATTATTGGTATGAAACATCTTTATTATTATACATTTATTCCGATAATCATATTTCTTAACATCGGATTTTCTTACACATTTTCTTTTTTTCCAAATCATTTTTTCTTTAATCAATTATTTTATACGTATAACTTACTTTATCATAATTTTTCTTCTTCTCGTCCTCACAAAAAGAAAGAAGCGATAAAAAAAAGAAAAAAACATGTAAATTAGTGACTATTGTGAAATAAATTCAAACACATTAAAATGTGAAGGATTCGAGAGAAGTGAAACTTCGTAAAGCTTATCTTGGATATATCTTTCCACCATAATCCAGCGATCTTGGTTGATGTGAAGCATGGGAATCTTCCGATAAGGCTAATTTCCCCAAGGAAATTCCCGGAGATTGGGAAAATCAGTGGCGCAATCGATTCGATGCGCCTTGCCTGCAGAGAAATTATTCATTCTCAATAAAGAGCGTACTCGTTTGATAGCGACTGGCACCTGTGGAATTAAATAGGTGCTTGCCTTACACTTTCTCTTGTCTGTAAATCACCTGTTTTTCTGCGATTTTTCGTTATATTTGATTAAATGGATGATATTTAAACAGTTCACTCAATTGAAAATCATAGTTTTCAAAGCTTTCATAGTTGACAAATATTAGAACTTTTAGAATAAAGATAAAAATTCATGATGAAATGAAAATCAAGGATGAAATTTTTATCGAATCGATAATATTACGAGATTTAAATATTAAAAGAAATTTTAATTATTAATTAAAATTTTAAAATTAAAATTTATTAAGTTGATTAAATTAATTCTTTGACAGTGTAATAAAATTACAAATTCAAAAGAGGCAATTTAGAAAATAATTAACTTTTTTTATCAAAATTTTTTAAAGCTCTAACATCAAATAAAAAAATTATACAGAATGCATTAATTTAGATATCTTAAATATCTTGTTTATTATTAGTGAAAAATTTTTTGAAGTTTACATTAACATTATTTGATTTTTTAAATAGAGCTACATACTTTTATCATAATATAATAACTGAAATCAAAATATTCTAATTATTCACACAAGTATTATTTAAATATTAATGTTTTATATCAGTGACATGAAAGTGATATGAAAACTGTTTTTATAATGAAGACTTAATAAAGATACGTATGAATTGCAAAACGTCCACATCCACACTATTATTTATACATAATTAAAAATCGTTTTCTTTTTACACATTTCTTCCCGACAAAAACCACCAATTAATGTTCACACGACGCATGTCGATGTGAATATTGATTATGATTCATTAATCAGCATACAATTGATTTACAATCGTACAAATTTTTGTTTCTTTTAATGAAATCAATTATCATGCAAAAAGAATAAAAAAATGTCTAAAAATGAAGTTTCTTTACACAAAAAATTATCAAAAAAAGAAAACATTTTAAACTTTTTCATATTTTCAAAAGATTCTCCAAATAACATCAAAATTATTTACAATAACTATATTCTTCCAATTTATTCAAGTGAAATATAAATTTCATTCAAACATCTATAAACCAAACAATCTTTATTTTTTTTAAAGACTACAGCAAATCTATGTAATAACATTATTTTGGAGAAAACGGCGAGACATGCGAGACATTCAAAAATAGAATGGAAGTGAAGAATCACAAGAGTCTAAAAACTTATTTGGGGTCCTTGGGTGTCCTCAACGGTTCTTAAATGGTGCTCTCCGCGTTCTTCACTGGCTCAAGGCCGCTCAACAAACGGCCGCATTCACCAGGCTGCATTCAGCTCCGTACGTGTCATCTTTTATGACCAGGCCTTGAAGAATCTGATAGAGACTGGTTGCCTTCGGCTCGTTGTTCGTCTCGCTAACGGGAGATTTATGGTAATTCGTTACGTATCAGTTCTACACATATGTTTTTCTTTCTCTTTCTTATAATATCAAATATAATCAAAAATCGGATTGTTTTTTTCAAAAAAAATTTACGTGAACTAATTTTGATCTTTATTTTCTTGTTATATATATTGATTATTTTTTTACAATAATTTAATAATTGCTTTATATTTTAAATATACATTGATATAATAAATCATAGAAATTTGAATAAGTACAAATAAATAATGAAAATCTTGATTTAAAATTTATCTATAATTTTCAGAAATAAGATAAATTTGATAATATTCAATTCCGTGATAATATTCAATTTTTTTCAATTTATTGAATCTCCTCGAAACATTGCTATTTAAATTTCAATTTTTGAATATAAAAAAAATTCACAATAATCTAAATTTTAGAGGTATAAAAAATTCTATTTCTATGCCATTCGTTGCGAAAAATTCTATTTTGTTTTGATGAATTTAATTTGTCATAAAAAATATCTCACACAATAATGAGGAAGATTTCTAAAATATATTTGAAATATTTCTGGAATCGAAAAATGGAATCGAAAGGAATGAAAATCAAATTTAAATTAATTAATTTTTAATTAATTAATAAATTTTTCTAAATTTTAGAATTTTTTTTTTTACCATGTCATTTGAAATATTTTGATTCGAAAGAATTAAACAATTTTTAAGATTTTTTTCTGTTTCCAATTTATTTCACAATTTCTATCTTTACGGAATTTATCAATAATTTTCGTGACAGTCTGCTCTCGATCCAATGTGCTCTCGATTCAAATGGTTTATATACAAACATGAGAGATGAGTAAAGGAGAATTGGAAGATCACGAGCATGTACAACCGATATTCGTCTTTCCATAGGACATAAGATTCCAATAAAAATGTAAATTCCATGAAGTTCCGCGGACCAACTGGCACGACAGCACAACTGAGCCGTCCTATTTACTCGTCAAGAGAGAAAGTTGAAAAGAGGTAGGCATACGCGTTCGCGAAACGAAATATACAGTACTTCATAATTGTCATTACGATTTTTCAGGCATTTTTATTAATATGGCAAAAAAAATAATTGTTTCAAATCAAAATTAATTAATTTTTAATCAATTATAAATTACAATAAAAAAATTTTTTTATAAAAAATTAAAATTTTCTTAATTTTTTTAAAATGTATAGAATAATGATATATATATTTTTGATTTTATAGTGAGATGTCAAGATAAATTCAATGTTATATATTGAATTCTTTAAATGGTTTTTAATAAAGAAATATCGAATAAATCAAAAGACATATTATTGTGAGAAATTATTTTATTTCAATAAAATTAAAATTTTCAAATTGGCTAGTATTTAATGTGATAGATATTATCATGATATTATTATAATAGAAAAAATAATAATAAAATAAATAAAATGAATAATGCCTTAGTATTTAACTATTTCAAAAATATAATTTTATTGAAATAAATTTGATAAATTTACTTATTATACTTATTTAATTTAAGATTATTTGAAGGTATATATAGTATAATGTATGATTGAATTCATTTTAATATTATAGCTATAAGAATATGATATTTTTTTTGTTTAATTATTGAAAAATTGTGATAATAGTTACATTTCATTCTATATGGATTTATATAGTTGTGCTTCTTATTACATCATTTATGTCAGTAACTAATATTTATTTACTTATATATATATTTGTTTGATAATAAAATTTCATCTCTAAACAATAAATTTCTCTTGATACTTATCTAATTTGTTCTATCCAATTTGTTCCAGTTAAAAAATTTTTCATAAATAATATTATTTAAAATTCATTAAAAATAATTATATAATGTAATATAATGTTTCTTCATTAACACATGAATGTTAATAGATCTAATATGGAATAAGTATAAGAAGAAATAATTTAAATTTTATTTTTATCAAGAGCAAAAAACATCTTATTTGGGTAAATTTTAAATATATAATTAATAATATTAATTATTATAAATTATTATAAATTAATAATTTCAAATATATGTAAAAATATATAATAGAATAATATATAAATAATAAAAAAATATATAAATAGATAAAGAAATATCGTAAAATAGAAAATTATTAT